GTTGTAATTGTTATATGTATACATATGCTACCTAAATATAAAAATGTGTACATGTAACACATAAAAATCAAGAAAATCAAGAGAATAGGAGAATTCCCTCGCTGATCCCTCGCTGATCAGCGAGGGATTTGGCAAAAATCAGATTCCCTCGCTGATCCCTCGCTGATCAGCGAGGGATTTGGCAAAAATCAGATTCCCTCGCTGATCCCTCGCTGATCAGCGAGGGATCGGCGAGGGATTTTCCTATTTTTCCTATTTTCTCATTTTTATGTGTTATATGTATACATATTCGGTTTGATTCGGTTTTTTTGGGCCTTAATGGGCTCTATTCGATTTGTTGGGCCTTAATGAGATTTATTCGGTTTTATGGGCCTTAGTGGCATTTATTAGGTTTTATTGGGCCTTAAATGACTTTATTCGGTTTTATTTGGCCTTAAGGGACTTTATTTGGTTTTATGGGCCTTAATGGACTTTATTACGTTTTATGGGGCCTTAAAGGACTTGATTCGGTTTTATTGGGCATTAATGGGCTTGATTCGGTTTTTTTGGGCCTTAATGGGCTCTATCGATTTGTTGGGCCTTAATGGGATTTATTCGGTTTCATAATTTTATAATGTAATAATTAATAATTAATTAAATTTATAGTTATTAATTAAAAAATAGTAATTAAATAAATTAAATAATTATAAAAAAAAACCTTTTTAGCGACGGAATTTCCCTCGGAAATCCATCGCTGATTTTCACTTAAATATCAAACAGCTAGGTTACGCCTCCACTTTCTGCACATCGAGAGAGAGAGAGAGCGAGAGATCGAGCCGATTCCTCCATTTTCTGCACAGCGAGAGATCGAGCCAGTTCCACCGCCAGCGCCCGACCCCGTTGTCAACCACCATCGCCTTCCCGTCGCCGACCACCACCGTCAGCGCCCAACACCGTCGCCGACCGCCACAGCCACACCCGCCGACTGTTTCTGCCGACCCCATCACCACCGTCTCCATTTCCGAATGTTTCTGCTGACCACCACTGCCTTCCCGTCACCGCCGTCTCCATTTCCGACCATCACCGTCATCTCCATTTCTGACCACCACTACCGTCATATAGGTACGGAGGTAGTATTACACTTTGTAATCCATTTCTAACATTCTAATGCCACTTAGGTTTCTCCTTAATTCAGTTAAAAGGCATATGATTGATGATAACACAACTATTTCAGTCGTATTAAAGCTTGTGAAGAATTCCCTAATACCAAAATGCATTTAATTGGAATAAAATTTCTTATAATTATAGGGTTCATGAAGAAGAAACAAACCTCGGCTGCTCTGATTTCGAGCTGATTGATATATTGTTTCATCTTTTTGCTTTCAATTTCTTGTTTTTCGATCTGAGCAAGTTCTCTCTTGGCCAATTCAACTCTCTCTGTAGCTTTATCCAACCCATCTAACAAAGCCCTGTTTTCTTCTCTATTTAGCAATTCTTCCACCGTTTAATCATATATGTTTTAACAGTTTAAAACTACAAATTAACTGATATTGAAGTTATATATGCTTTATCCAACCCATTATACTGTTAATCAATGTAGCTTGACRTATGTGATTAATGTGTGAATTTTAAATTGTTAATCAATTTGTAAATCACCTTTTCATGCTAAGCAACAAAATTAAACTGATATTGAAGTTTACATTTATACCCTTTAGTTCAAACAAGTCGAAAAGTAAACTTGACGAATCTTATATATGTCCAGTTGGGCCGTTGGTATTTAATTGAACCGAATACCGAGTGGAATGCTACCAAATTTACATCAAGTTAGCACGTTTTTATTATTTTATTTTATTTAATTAATCACATGAACCAAAGCTTTAATTTATGTTGGGATATTGTCAAGGAATTAGAACATAAGCCCGTCTAAGGATCTT